CGCAGGAGGTTCAGCGCACAGCGCCTCATAAACCAGGGCAGGGGCGTTTCTTACGCCCTTGAATTTTGACAAAAAGCAACCATCCAACCTTCTGAACGTAACCTCAGAAAACTACTTTGCGTGGCGCTGAAGTGAGAGCCCCATTTTGAAAAACACCCGTCCTCCATCCGTGAAGCGAGTGCAAACGTGTGAAAATGATGTGAGATGTTGAAGAGGAGCTGTCCTCAATCACTGAAATGGTTGAGAACTTGTTGACACGAATTCGCGCGGCGCAGAGGCGAGGACCACATCCTGACGTGGGGCCGCCCTACATCCGTGAAGCTGCTGCAAATAATTAAAAACGATTGTGTTCGACGCTAAGGCGGACCGCAATTCGAGAACGAGCCCCCTGCATCCGTAAAAGTGCTGACAACGTTTTACAGCGAATGTGCGCGGCGCTAAAGCGATGACCACACTTGACAAGGAACCGCCCTCCACACGTGAAACTGCTGCACACAATCAAACCTAATGTGCGTTGCGCTAAATCGAGAACCACACTTTCAAAACGACCCCCCCCCCCCTTTCATCCGTGAAGCCGTTTCAGACTGTTTAGTTCGACTGCGCGCGGCGCCAAGGCGAGAACACACACACACACACACTTCGAGCCCACTCCTTCACCCTTGACGCTGTTGCAGAGATTAAGCTTCCAAGCTCAAGTGGCGAGGACGTTTCAAGGGAAACGCACGGCCCGCCCTACCGACACGCCTGAAGGTGCGACAGAAGGGATTAAGTATACGGAAGTCACAAGCGGGAACTCCTTTTTAAAAAGAGCTGGCATCCATCCTTTAAACGTTACATGAAAAAATGACTGCACGCCACGATGGGGTGAGGCAAATGTGCGCGGCGCTAAGTCGAGAACCACAGTTTGAAAAGTGAGGCATTTGCAGACTGGTTAAAACGACTGTGCGCGGTGCAAAAGCGAGCCCCCTCCAAACATGTAAGTACTGTAGATTTCAAGCTTCAAGCTCATACATGGCGAGGTAGTCTCAAGCGGAACGCCTGGCCCGCCCGACTGACACGTTGGGGTGCGACAGGGGAGATTTATGTCTAAGGACAAGGGATGGAGGAGAAGGAACAGGAGGAGGTGAGGAGGAGGAGGCGGAGGAGGAGGAGGAGGAGAGGTGGATGATGAAGAGGAGGAGGGAGGGAGGAAGGAGGCGGACGACGTTGAGAGGGAGCGGCAGCGGTGGTGAAGCAAAAGGCAGGAGGATCGTGGGGAGGGGTCGAAAGCGGAGGTGCACGCGCCGCTGCTGCTGCTGCTGCTGCTGCTGCTGCTGCTGCTGCTGCTGCTGCTGCTGCTGCTGCTGCTGCTGCTGCTCCTCCTCCTCCTCCTCCTCCTCCTCCTCCTCCTCCTCCTCCTCCTCCTCCTCCTCCTCCTCCTCCTCCTCCTCCTCCTCTCCTCCCTCCTCCTCCTCCTCTCCTCCTCCTCCCCCTCCTCCTCCTCCTCTGCCCTCGTCCTCGTCCTCCTCCTCCTCCCCGTCCCCCTCCTCCTCCTCCTCCTCCTCCTCCTCCTCCTCCTCCTCCTCCTCCTCCTCCTCCTCCTCCTCCTCTGAGGGCGGGGGAGGGGCGACATGGAGGTACTGGCTCACGGGGGGGAACTTTCACCCGGAGTCGACGCTGCACATCGCCGACAGGTCGGCGATGGCCCCCGCCAGCGAGGCCACGCGCGCCCCCGAGCGGCGTGGCGCGCCCAGGCCCCGATTGGCGGCGAGGAGCGGGCGATTGGGGGTCGACGCTTCCCCGCCTGCGTCAGTCCCCGCCCGCCCTGTCTTGGGGGAAAACAAACCTACCTCGCTTTTGACCACCCTCGCTTCCAAGAGATGCCAAACGATGCCAAACTACGGCCTGTACTGGTCAGGCCGCTTGACGAGGAGGCGCGTGGTATGACTTGGTTTTGCCTGGAAGCGAAAGCGGGGTAGGTAATTCACGCTCTGACTGTCGGCGCCCCCGATCGTCCACCTGCTCCTCCCTCGCTCGTCGTCACCCTCGCCGCCACCGCGCCCTCCTCCGTGGCAGTCATCTGGCCCGGTCCTCCTGTTCCCTCCCCCCTCGTCCCGCAGCCGCTCCCTTCTCCCGCAAGCGAGCGGTTGCCAGGAGCCTGTGTGAAGGCAGCGGGCAGCACGATCACAGGGGACAGAGGGGAGGGAGGCGGCGGCGGCGGCAGGAAGGAGGGCGAGGTAGAGCCCTCACCGCTTCTTCTTCGCCTCCTTCCTGTCGGCCCGGCCAGCCTTGCCGCTCTTGGAGCCCGAGCCCCCCAGCAGCGCGGGCGCGCCCCGGAAGACGGCGAGCGCCACGAGCAGTCCGACCAGCGACGCCACGACGCCGTAGGGTGCCCAGCCGGGCGCCGCCGTGGCACTCTGGGGGAACACGGGCCGACGCTCTCCGCCCGCCCCAGCCTTCGCGGCCAGGGCCTCCGCGAACGAGTCGCCGACCGACCCGGTCCTGGGCTTGTTCCAAACCCAGAAGTTCGCCGCCCACTTCTCCCCCTCCTCGACCGGGCAAGCGCCGTGGAGGCCGTTCGGGTCAGTGTTCCCGTTCGGGTGGAGGGAATACCTGGAAATGCGACGACACGATCATGTCAATCCGCGGCCCCCGAAGGCGAAGCACCTCACCCCGGGCCTATTTTTCGCCCCGGATCCACTTTGACGGCCCCAGGGCCCAACACAACAAATGCACCAGAGGCTGAAACCGATGAAAAATGCCGGGAGCGACAAGCAAACATCGCTGGAGATCGCCATGGAATCGCCATGGACGGCCCGAACATGACAAGAACAGAGAGAGAGGGAGGGAGGAGGAGGAGGAGGAGGAGGTGGAGGTGGAGGAGGAGGACGAGGAGGAGAAGGAGGAGGAGGAGGGAGACGAGGAAGAGGAGGAGGAGGATGAGCAGGAGGAGGAGCACGAGGATGCCGAGGTGAAATAAAAACGCCTGGACCGGACAGGTTGCCTCGTTGGAGGTCTTGGCACCAGAAGATGACGGTGCCCTTGACGGGCTGAACCTTGAGGCCGTGCTCGCAACTCCACATGTCCGACGGCTGGGGTAGCCCGTTCGAGCGCGGGAAGATCGTCTCGCCGCCCCTGTCCACCGTCGTGAGGTACCTAAGAAGAAAACATAACGGGATGACCATATCTGGGAAAAACACAAAACACACAGTCTGTGGGAAAAGCACACACACACACTCTTCTCACAGTGTGTTTTTCCCCACAGTGTGTTTTTGTTCCCCAAAGTGTTGTTTTGTCCACAGTGTGTTTTTCCCCAAGACGGGATGACCATAAACTTTCGGACCTCCGCGCGGATCTCTTGGATCGGCGCTGGACCCCCCTCCCGGCCTGGCGCGCGGAGCGCGCCGGGGGCGGCGCGGGAGTCGCCGCCAGGTGGGGGTCCATCGCCGATGCAAGAGATCCGCGCGGAGCTCCACGAGATCATGATCGTGTCATTTCTTCCTCGAGTGCCAGAACACGGTGATCATGCGGTTGAAGTGGCCGTGGTCGAGCGGGGCGATGACGGAGGGGTCGGAGTAGAAGCTGGGGTCCCAGTTATCGAGATGCGACGAGTAGTACTGGGTCTTCTGGTACTTCAAGATCTGGATCTCCTCGTTGTGGACTTTGGGCAACCCGGTGAGATTACCCACCCGCGTGTCTATATCCCAAAGCATGGCGCTCTCCATCTGGGATATCCTTGCCTGGGAGCTTGTCCGAAACTCCTTTGCAGCCTTGCCCTTGTCTTTATCCATGAGGCTGACTGGAGAAGACTCCATACGACCAGCGCCCAATCGGACTATCTCGTCACACTCCTGAGGCTTCAGGAAGCCCCTCACGCGACCCGCCACCGTAGCCGCGGCAAGCTGGGGCACGTTGGAATACTTGCTGGTTGGCTGACAAAGTTTTTGTAGTTTCCAAGGGCGGCCCCTCCTGCGATCAAGCTAAACCAATCAAGTCGGACGATCTAAGCGCGTCGATGCAGTCTTTTTGTCAGCATCGGGCCAACGTTCCATCTCTCGCGGGACCCTCCTGCGCCAGACTAGCTGCTGACAGTGTGCACGCAAAACGGTACGGAAGCATTGACCCAGCGCGCGTGCGCCCGAACTCTGCAAGGTCGCCATGATCCGAATGCTCTCCGGTCGTCTCCTTCTCACCGCACCGCGCCCGCCTGCGCTTCCGTGCCTCAGTTCGCAACGGATGCATCCCGCCGTTTGCTTGACCGCTTGTCGGACCCAACGCGCCGCTGACAAACAAATGCGCCCGCACTCCGAAGAACGTTCCTCTGGTTTTGCCCCCACGCGCTCTCCCGGCCCCCTGGATCCGACGACGGTCAAAAGCCGCGCCAGAACGCTTGCAGGACGCCCCGAGCTCATCCAAAGACGGCCCAACGTGCCCACAAAGCATCCAATCTCTCCCCCAAATGCCCCAAGATGCGTCCTGAGAGGAGGGACGCATCGAAACAGGTGGAACGATATCCCCTTATGCAGCGCCGAGGAGGACTGTGCTGCTGCTACAGCCAGAATTGAAGTTTGTAAGTCTTCAAGGGCCCGGACCAGTCGTTTCCTGGGCCGGCCTGGGGCCTGCCGGAATCGCTCGCGTCGGCCTACCCCGCTCAGGAGGGCCCCCAAACGAGCCCAGATGGCTCCAAGAGACCCCAGAAGTGGCCAAAGAGGGCCCCAAATCTCCCCAATATCGCTCCATGACGGCCACGATGGCCTCAATGTGGCCCAAGAGGCCTCCAAGACGCCACAAGAGGCCTCCAAGAGGCCTCCCAAGAGGACCCAAAGAGGCACAAGTTCTCGTCTTTTCCACTTCCCGCAGCTCCTAGACGGCGCAGGAGGCCCCCAAGATCGCCCCAAGGGGCCTCCAAGAGGGCCTCAAGACTGCCTAAGAGCGCCCCAAGACGGCCCAAGAGGCGCCTACGACGGCCCAAGAGGGCCTAAGGTGGCCACAAAAGATGCCCAAGAGAGGGAGCATAAAGCGCACGTCCGAGCCTTCCGCCCCAAGATTCCCCCAAGAGGCCCCAAGAGACGCCCAAGAGGCCCCCAAGAGGCATCGAAACTGCCTCCAAGAGGCCCCCGAGGGGCCCCCCACGAGATCCCAACGAACATCCAGCGGGCTTCATACCCGCAACCCAGGCACGGTGGCGGGATGGGCCGAAGGCCATTATCCGCCGCCCCCTGCTTGCAGGGGTGCACGGCGTGCTGGACGATTCAGGTTTTGGTTTTGGTTCTTTTTCTAAAAGAACTCCCCAGTGGGCTTCGGCCCGTCCCGCCGGCCACCCGCAAGTTTCCGAAAATCCGTCTGTCAATGCCCAAAAACGGCCGTTTCGCTCGGGACATCCTCAACAAATCGCGAAGATGGCCCAAGATGGCCTCCAAGTCCGCCCGAGATGGTCCAAGACGGCCTCCAAAACGGCCCAAGAGAGTCCAAGACGGCCCAAGACGGCCCAAGAGGCCCCCCAGAGGCCTCCCAGACGGCCCAAGAGGCCTCCAAGAGGTCCTCCAGGAGAGTCCGAAGAGGCCAAAATCATTGATTTTCCCTTGGTTTTTGAAGGATTTTGGCATTTGCGCCTTTTCGGCTCTCCGACGGCTCAAGACGGCCCAAGAAGCCCCCAAGATCGCCCAAGAGGCCCCCAAGAGAGCCCCATGATGGCCCAAGTGGCCTCCAAGATGGCCCCTAGAGGGCCCCAAGAGGGCCCAAGAGGCCTCCAACACGCCCAAGATGGCCTCCCAGACGCCCAAGATGGCCTCCAAGACGGCCCTGGAGCATTCCAAGCGGGCCCCAAGTCGGCCCATAGAGGCCCCCCAAACGGCTTCCGACGGCTTCAGACGTGCCAGGAACCCACCAAGATGGCCGAAGTTGGCTCGAAGCTGGCCCGAGACGGCCCAAAAAGCCCCAAAGATCGCCCAAAGCTTGCCCAAGAGGCCTCCAAGACGGCCAAGATGACCTTCAAGATGCCCACGTGTTCCCCGAAGGCTTTCCAAACCGATTCGGGGAACACGTGGTCCGATAGCTTGGCAGGTCTGGCCTCAACGTTCGGCCACATAGGCGCTTCCAAAAAGGCAGGGGGCGGCGGTGATTCGCCGTAGGCGTCTTCGATCCGCCGCCCCCTGCTTGCAGGGGTGCACGGCGTGCTGGACGATTCAGTTTTGGTTTTGGTTCTTTTTCTAAAAGAACTCCCCAGTGGGCTTCGGCCCGTCCCGCCGGCCACCCGCGCATTTCCCAAAATCCGTCTGTCAATGCCCAAAAACGGCCGTTTCGCTCGGGACATCCTCAAAAAATCGCGAAGATGGCCCAAGATGGCCTCCAAGTCCGCCCGAGATGGTCCAAGACGGCCTCCAAAACGGCCCAAGAGAGTCCAAGACGGCCCAAGACGGCCCAAGAGGCCCCCCAGAGGCCTCCCAGACGGCCCAAGAGGCCTCCAAGAGGTCCTCCAGGAGAGTCCGAAGAGGCCAAAATCATTGATTTTCCATTGGTTTTTGAAGGATTTTGGCATTTGCGCCTTTTCGGCTCTCCGACGGCTCAAGACGGCCCAAGAAGCCCCCAAGATCGCCCAAGAGGCCCCCAAGAGAGCCCCATGATGGCCCAAGTGGCCTCCAAGATGGCCCCTAGAGGGCCCCAAGAGGGCCCAAGAGGCCTCCAACACGCCCAAGATGGCCTCCAAGACGCCCAAGATGGCCTCCAAGACGGCCCTGGAGCATTCCAAGCGGGCCCCAAGTCGGCCCATAGAGGCCCCCCAAACGGCTTCCGACGGCTTCAGACGTGCCAGGAACCCACCAAGATGGCCGAAGTTGGCTCGAAGCTGGCCCGAGACGGCCCAAAAAGCCCCAAAGATCGCCCAAAGCTTGCCCAAGAGGCCTCCAAGACGGCCAAGATGACCTTCAAGATGCCCACGTGTTCCCCGAAGGCTTTCCAAACCGATTCGGGGAACACGTGGTCCGATAGCTTGGCAGGTCTGGCCTCAACGTTCGGCCACATAGGCGCTTCCAAAAAGGCAGGGGGCGGCGGTGATTCGCCGTAGGCGTCTTGGATACCTGCTTGGCACTGGGACGAAAACCGCGTATACGTTGTGGGGGCGCGAGGTCGCTGGCTTAATATTTCGGAACCCTGCTGGTGTCAAGGCTTTGGCACGACATACAAAAATCTAGCAAACAGCCCTGCGGCAACATATTGCATTTCGGGGATCCTTTCGGGGCTCTTTCGGGGCGTCTTGGGGCCCTCTTTGGCCGTCCTGGGGCCCTCTTGGGCCGACTTGGGGAGCTAGGGCCGTCTTTGGGCCCTCTCGGGGCCCTCCGGGACCCTCTTGGGGACCTCCTGTGGCCCTCCCGGGGCTGTATTGGGAACCTTTTGGGACCCTCAGAGGCCTTTCTTGGGCCCTATTGGGGCTCTCTTGGGACGTCTTGAAGCCCGCTGGGGCGGTCTTGGGGCCGTCTTTGGGGCCTCGTGGACCGTCTTCAAGCGGTCTTGGAGGCTGCTTCGGTCGTCGTGGACGTTGTCAAACCCGAAGAATCGAATCTCGTAAAACTGTACGCTTCCCTGCGGGAATTGGACGAGTTGTGCCTCTTGCGGGTGATCTTGGAAGCCTCGTAGAGCGTCTTGAGGGCCTCTTCGGCCGTGCTGAGGCCGTCTTGGGCCCTCTTTGAACACTCTTGCGCAGTCTCAGGGCCCTCTTGGGTCTCCCGGGGGTCGTCGTGGAGGTATCCAAAACCGTTTTGGGGGCGTCTTGGGCTGACGTGGGGGGCCTCTCGGGCGCTCCTGGAGCTGGCTTCGGCCGTCTGGGACCCGACTCACGGATCGCGACGCTTCGCGCGCTTTCCGTCATCCGCCGCCGCCTGTTGACTTGCCACAGGGGTGCCTGGCGTGCCAGATTTCAGGAGGTCCTTGGTTCTTTTGGAACTCCCCCTGGGGCTTCGGCCCAGCATGCCGGCCACCTGGAACATGTACATGTCAATGCCTTTCTCGCCCAAGATGGCCCAAAATAGACTCCAAGATGCTTCCCAGACGGCCGAGATGGCCCAAGATGGCCTCCAAGACGGCCAAGATAGCGCCAAGAGAGCCCAAGACGTCCTCAAGACGGCTCGAGAGGCCTCCAAGAAGTCCTCCAGGAGGGCCCGAAGAGGCCAGAATCATTGATGTTAGCTAGGTGTTTCGAAGAATCGTGCCCATTGCTTCTTTTCAGCCTTCCGACGGCCCAAGACGGCTGAAGAGGGCCGCAAGATCGCCCCTAGATGGCCCAAAAGGCCTTCTAAGACGACCCCATGACGGCCCAAGACGCCTCCAAGACAGGCCCCAAGAGGGCCCCAAAAGGCCTCCAAGACGCCCATGGTGGCCTCCATGACGGCCCTGAAGCGCCCCAAGAGGGCCCCAAGTCGGTCCAGAGAGGCCCCCAAGACGGCTTCCGACAGCGTCAGACGGGCAGGAACGCCCTCAGACAGCCAAAGAGGCACCCAAGAAGCTTCAAAAGGCTCCAAAGAGGCCCAAGGAGGCTTCCAAGAGGCCTCCGAAATGCTCACAAGAAGCTCCCAGAAGGCCCCAAGAGTCCACCTCCTCCTCCTCCTCCTCCTCAGCCTCCTCCGGCTCATCTTCCTCCTCCTCCTCCGCCTCCTCCCCCTCCTCCTCCTCCTCCTCCTCCTTCTCCTCCTCCTCCTCTCCCTCCTCATCCTCCTCTCTGTTTGTCCTCCCTCTCCTCCGCTTCTTCTTTCTACCCCGTGTGTTCCCCGAAGGGTTTCCACAACGGCTGGGGGAACACATGGTCGGATAGCTTGGCAGAGCTCCGGCCACAACTTTCGGCCACATGGGCGATTCCAAAAGGCAGGGGGCGGCGGTGATTTGCCGTAGGCGTCTTCGATACGTTTGTTCGTGTTGCTTCCGAGGCTTTTCGGTTTCGGATCGCATGAGGCGAAGTTCAGATAATTTCAGAGAGCCGCAAGAAGCCCCTAAAACGATCTAGAGGCCACCCAAATGGGGTCCGAGCAGATGGGGTCGGAGGATCGCGCCGCATCGCCGATCCATCGGCGACGTCAACGATACACCGACGACGTCGGCGTGGATAAACTCGGGTTACACATCGAGCCGCATCGACGATGCATCGGCGAGGCGGCACGATCCTCTGACCCCATCTGCTCGGACCCCACCCGGGAGGTCTAGGCGGTCTCAGGAGCGCCCTAAGGAAGCCCCCAAGCCAGACGTCCCCAAAATAGCTCCACCAAACCTGTTCCGGAGAGGTTCGTGGAACCATCGCGGCCAAGACTTCCTCGAGACCACCGACGGGTCCCCAACGGGCCCCCGACATTCCCCTGAAATACTCACAGGAGGGCCTCAATGAGCTTCCCAGATGCCTTCAGGAGGGAGGACGGCGGAGAGAGGAGGGAGGAGGGAGGAAGGAGGAGGGAGGAAGGAGGAGGGAGGAGGGAGGAGGAGGAGGGAGGGGGGAGGGAGGATGGAGGATGGAGGATGGAGGATGGGATGGAGGAGGGAGGGGGAGGAGGAGGAGGAGGAGGAGGAGGAGGAGGAGGAGGAGGAGGAGGAGGAGGAGGAGGAGGGGGAGGAGGAGGAGGAGGAGGAGGAGGAGGAGGAGGAGGAGGAGGAGGAGGAGGACAAGGATAAGGACAATGACATCCGCAGGAGGGGGTAACGTCAGAGCACCTGCTCGGGTGATCTACGCGCTCTTGCCCAAATCCTCCGCGCTGAGATGTGCTACGGCCCTGCTTTCTCACTAGGGCCGACAGGGGGCAGGAGGAGGAGGAGGAGGAGGAGGAGGAGGAGGAGGAGAAGGAGGACGAGGAGGAGGAGGAGGAGGAGAAGATGGAGGACGGAAGAGGAGAACGAGGCTGCGGACAAGGGGAGGATGTCCAATGCACGCGCCCATTCAAGCGACGAGCCGAACTGAAGCGGGTCTCAAACACCACGCCTGGTGGTTCTCGCTTCATAAATCGGTCTCCTGGCGGCCGCTCGGGGAGACCGGGGCCAACTGGGGAAGGCCTCAACGAGGCACAGCTGCAGGAAAGGACCCCGCGACGAGAACATCTGCGAAACCAATAAGAACGTCAGAACATCTTTGAGAAACAACCTCCCACACCTCGACGTCATGTTTTTTCACAACGTCGACTCCCAAATGCCTGGACCCCTTGGGACGGGCTTCTCATCCTGCATGAATCGCTCTTGACGGTCCCGTGGTCTAGGCTCCTAGTCATTACCACCCTGACTCCGGAACTGCATTTCCTTGTGGTTGATTCCCTGACATCAACACCCCGAAAAATGCAACAAATAGGGCGAGAATTCCCGCCTCAGAAAAATGAACCAACTATTCCCGCAAAAATGCGACGACAACAGCGAAGGCAAAGTAGGCCGGAAACAGACATCAGAGGAGCTTGAAACGTAGGGCGGAAATTTCCGCCTTGCCTAGTCGCCCAGTAGACGGCGGATTTGGGATCAAGCGAAAACGGTCCCTTCCCGGAGACGGGCTTCTCATCCTGAGTCGTTTTCTGACGGTCGCGGGGCCCGCTAAGCGGGCCCGCGGGACCGAAAACTATCGAAAAACCTTCCGTCGTCATGGTTGATGGGCCTGTTTTCCACCACCACCATAAGTTGGAGGGGGAGGGGGTCCTCCTCCTCCTCCTCCTCCTCCTCCTCCTCCTCGCCCTCCTCCTCCTCATCCTCCTCCTCCTCCTCTTCCTCCTCCTCCTCCTCCTCCTCCTCCTCCTCCTCCTCCCCTCCAACTTCTGGTGGTGGTGGTGGAAAACTGGCCCAGCAATGCTCTCGTGACCCGAAGGGGGTCTGGCCGGGCACTTCCCGCGGCCCGGGCCAGGGCAGCCCGGCGCAGATCCGGGAGGCCCGCGCAAACCTCCGAGAGCTCGTGCCCGTGCCGGCACGTCTTCCTCGACTCCTGGGCGGGCGACGCGGAGGGTCGCCGGCCCTCGGGCCGGTCACGGCCTCCAGCGAGGACGGCGAGGCGAGGCGAGCGAGGCAGGCGAAGCGGAGGGTCGCCATACGAACCACATGGGGGCCACGTGCGAACCCTGCCCCTGCCCCCCACGATTTCCGAGGGGGAGGGTGGGGTTCACTTCGCTCGGGAGCTCCCGAGCGAAGTGAGCCTCACCGTCCCCCTCGGAGATCGTGGGGGGTAGGGGCAGGGTTCGCACGTGGTCGCCTATGAACCAAGAGATCGGGGCTCCGAAAGTTTCTGTCTGCGCGCACCTGTTTTTCTTCAGCTTCTGAAGGCTCCGAAAACCCGAGCACGATCAAAAGCCTGCCGTCGCTGCTTCTTGTCAAGGCCCAAGGGAGGCCCGAAGCATCGGCAGGCAGCGACTGCACGGTGCTGAGGTGCTGCACCCAGGGGTCGACCAAAACAGCGCTTTGCACAATGCGCAATCGTTTCGTTTTCGCGCTCAAGCGCTTTAAAACGTCCACGGCGGCCCTTCTGATGGTCCAAGACAGCGCTTTGATTCCAAAACAGCGCTGTGGCGCAACTCGGAAGCCGTGATCAGCCCATGGTATGATCTGTATCGAAAAGAACACGAAAACGAAAGAAGAAGCAACAACGATTCTCTATAGCTTGCTCGCACGAAAAAAGCCGACGCACACCGGGCTCCACGACGTGAGACTGAAGACCGCCGGACAAACCGGGAACATCACACGGGGCGCCGCGAAGAGCGCAGACGCCACTGCGAGAAGGAGAAGAAGCGAGGAAGACAGCGAACGGCCAGCGACGTCTGCGTGCCTGCCTGGCCGACGATCCGCGAGGAAAACCTGGACCCTAGACAGCGTGTTGGTCGACCCCTGGCTTCGCCAGCACGGCGGCGGCTTCGCCCGCGCAGGCGGCCAGATAGGCCACGGGCTGCACGGAGAGCGTCTCCAGCTGCATCCCCAGGCTCGGCAGCGCCCGGACGAAGCCCTCGCGGACGGGGGGCCAGAACCTGGGCGCGAGGGGGAGCCCAGCCCGCCAGAGCCCCTCGGGGACCCACCGACCCGGGCCACCGCCTGCCTGGGTCAGTCAGGCCTTACGGGATCCTGCAAGATCCTGCCGGATCCTGCAGGACCCTGCGCGCTGGCCTGGGTCAAGGCAGCCCAGGCACTGCAGGCTCCTGCAAGATCCGGCGCCCTGGCTGACCCCCGTTTGCATGGACCCCCGTCGACCCCTGAGCCCCGAGCCCCTCACACATGGATGCGACCGGTGCTTGTGCTCCATCCTCGGCCTCTGGCGGCTGCTTCTGACTGAGGCACGGAGCAGCCAGAGAACGAGCTGGGAGGAGAAACCGGTCCGGGGGAGGGTGTCCGGAGCTCTGGAGGCCCACGCGTCGACGACATCTGCGCGGGAGCGGGCTCGGAGGGAAGAAGTGGGGCCGGATTCTCGTCCCGAATCGTCTTCGGGAAGGCCCCGGGGCTCCGGAGCGGCTCCGAGGGCCCGAAAGCGGAGACAAGCACTCCAGGGCCCGTTTTCCCCAGCAGAAAACAAGACGGCATCAACACGTAAGCTGTCGTCGCTCCGCGCGGAGTTCTTGGGTCTGCGCTGGACACCCCCCCCCGTGGCGCGCGGAGCGCGTCAGGGGCGGCGCCGGAGGCGCGGCCAGGGGGGCTCAGCGCAGATCCAAGCAATCCGCGCGGACCGTCGGGAAAATTACTGTGCTTCTGCCGTGCTTGCTGCTTCGGCTATTGGGCCCCCTTCCATCGCGGAAGGGAGCCACTGGCCGCCCACGATGACGAAGATGAGCTGGGCCCCCAGCGCCGCGTCGACGGAAAGCAATCGCTCGCCGTGGGCGGCGAACACGCCGAAGACCTGTCGTGAGGGGTGCTCCGGAGGCCGTAGGGGCCTTCCTGGAAATCCTGGGGGCACCTTGGCCCAGGGGCACTTCTAGCAACACCCGAAGTTTCTCGCAGAAAGAAAAATGCCTGGGCTTCCCAGAACCGTGGCAGTGCCAGCCCACAGCCAGTCGGCGGCGTGCCTGGGGGGGAAAGTAAATAAGGAGTAGACCTTCTCTCAGACGGCGGCTGGGCTTCCCAGAAGCCAGAGAGCTTCTTGGAAGGCGTGAGGATTTCGGAAAAGTCCCGCCACCTCCCAGGCACCCTGAGATCTGGCATTGCGAAAATGCAGCATCGCGAAAAATCAAAGACAGGAGCGCCAAACCCGATCTCTCTGCTGCACTTCTCGACCCGGATCGGCCCGTATGGTTCTGCTCGAGCGGGCGGCGACGAATGACGACGACGCCGAGGAAGACGACGCCGACGACGAAGACGACGACGACGGCGACGACGAAAACGACGCCGACGACAAGGACGACGACGACGCCAACGACGACGACAACGAAGATGGCGACAACGGCGCGCCGAAGACAACGACGACGACGACGCCAACGGCGCCGACGACGACGCCGACGACGACGCCGACGACCACGACCACGACGACGACGACGACGACACAGCCGACGACGACGCCGACGACGAAGACGACGACGACGGCGACGACGAAAACGACGCCGACGACAAGAACGACGACGACGCCAACGACGACGACAACGAAGATGGCGACGACGGCGCGCCGAAGACAACGACGACGACGACGACGCCAACGGCGCCGACGACGACGCCGACGACGACGCCGACGACCACGACCACGACGACGAAGCCGACGACCACGACCACGACCACGACGACCACGACCACGACGACCACGACGACGACGCAGCCGACGACGACGACGCCGACGACGAAGACGACGACGACGGCGACGACGAAAACGACGCCGACGACAAGGACGATGGCGACGCCAACGACGACGACAACGAAGATGGCGACGACGGCGACGCCGAAGACAACGACGACGACGACGACGCCAACGACGCCGACGACGACGCCGACGACAACGCCGATGACCACGATCACGACGACGACGACGCAGCCGACGACAACGCCGCCGACGAAGCCAACGAAGCCGACGACAACAACGACAACGACGACGCCGACGACGACAACGAAAACGACAACGACGACAGCGACGACGAAAACGACGACGTCGCCGCCGACGACGACGATGATGACGACGACGCCGCCGACGCCGACGACAACAATGACGCCGACGCCGACGCCGACGACGACGAAGACGACAACGACGACGAAAACGACGACGCCGACGAAGACGCCGATGAAGCCGACGACGACGAAAACGACGACGGCGACGCCGACCACGACGACGACGACTACAACAGCGACGACGAAGACGACGACGCCGACGATGACGAAAACGACGACGGCGACGCCGACGACGACGACAACGAAGAAGACGACGTCGTCAACGACGCCGACGACGACGCCAACGACGACGCCGACGACCAAGGCGACGATGACGAAGCCGACGACGACGCCGACGACGAAGCCGACGACGACGACAACCACGACAAAAACGAAGATGACGACGCCAGCGACGACGAAAACGACAGCAACGACAGCGACGACGAAAACGACGACAACGACAACGCCGACGGCGACGACGCTGACGACGACGACGACGGCGACGACGAAAACGACAACGACGACGACAACGACGACGCCGACGATGACGCCGATATCACCGACGACGACGGAAACGACGACGACGCCGACGACGCCGAAGACGACGACGACGCCCACGACGACGAAGACGACGATGACGACGCCAACGACGACGACGACAACGAAGACGCCGACGACGGCGACGACGAAGACGACGACGAAGCGGACGACGGCGACGACGCCGACGCCAACGCCGACGACAACGATGACGACGCCGACGACGACGCCGACGGCGACGACGACGCCGACTCCGACGAGGACGACGACGACGACACCAACAACGACGCCAACGTCGTCGACGAAAACGGCGACGACAGCGACGACGAAGACGACGCCGCCACCGTCGACGACGATGCCGACGACGAGGCCGACGAAAACAATGACAACGACGACGGCGACGACGCCGACGCCGACCACGACGGCGAAGACGGCAACGACGACGACAGCGATGACGCCGACGACGACGATGATAACGCCGACGACGACGAAAGCGACGACGCCGACGCCGAAGACGACGCCGAAGACGGCGACGACGCCGACGACGACGACGCCAACGACGCCAACGACGACGACACCGGCGCCGACGACGAAGACCGCGACGACGGCGACGACGAAGACGACGACGACGCCGATAACGCCTACGACGACGACGCCGACGACGACACCGACGACACAAGACGACAACGGCGACGACGACGACGACGACGAAGACGCCGACGAAGACGCCGACGAAGCCGAGGACAACAACGAACGACAACGACCACGACAACGACGACGCGGACGATGACGCCGATAACGCCGACGACGACGGAAACGACGACGACGACGCCAACGACGCCGAAGACAACGACGCCGGTCACGACGACGAAGACGACGACGACGTCGACGACGACGACACCGACGACGACGCCAACGACGACGACGACAACGAAGACGGCGACGACGGCGACAACGACGACGACGAAGACGACACGCACAACACCAGCGACGACGACGACGACAACAACGAATACGGCGACGACGGCGACGAAGACGACGGCGACGCCTACGACGTCGACGACGCCTACGACGCAGCCGACGACGACGCCAACGACGACGACGACCCCGACGACAACGACGACGAAGCCGACAACGCAGCGGACGACGACACCGACGAAGCCGACGACGACGACGACGACGACAATGACGAAAACGACAACGACGACAGCGACGAGGACCAAGACGACACCGCCGCCGACGACGACGACGCCGACGACGACGCCGCCTCCGACGACGACTACGATCGACGAAGACGACGAAGACGACGACGCCGCCGATAGCGCCGACGACGACGACGCCGACGACGCCGACGACGAAGACGACGTCGACGACGGCGACGACGCGGACGCCGACGACGAAGACGACAGCATCGACGACGCCAACGATGACGACAACGCCGACGACGAAGACGACGACGATGCCGACGCCGCCGACGACGCCGACGACGTCGCCGATGACGACGCCGACGACAACGCCCAAGACGACGACTACGCCGACGACGACTCCGACGGCGACGCCGCCGACGACGACGCCGACGAAGCCGACGACGACGACACCAACGACGACAACGACGAAAATGACAACGACGACAGCGACGACGAAGACGAACTCTTCGCCGCCGACCACAACGAAGCCGACGACGACGCCGCAAACGACGACGCCGACAACGACGACGCCAACGAAGACGACGATGAAGACGACGACTACGTCGACGTCGACGACGACGACGCCAAAAACGCCGACGAAGCCGAGGACAACAACGAACGACGGCGACGACATCGACGATGTCGCCGCCGACGACGACGCCAACGACGACGACAACGATGACGGCGACGACGACGACGAAGACGACGCCGAAGACGACGCCGACGACGCCGACGACGACGCCGACGACGAAGACGACGAAGACCACGCCGACGCCGAAGACGACGACGACGCCGACGACGCCGCCGACGACGCCGACGACGCCGACGACGCCGACGACGACGCCAACGACGACGACAACGAAGACGGCGACGCCGGCGACGGCGAAGACGACGACGACGCCGACGACGCCGACGTCGACGCCGACGACGTCGACGACGACGACCAAGACGACAACGACAGCGACAAAGACGCAGCCGACGGCGACGACGATGACGCGACGACGAAAACGACAACGACGACCTAGGACGACGCCGCCGTCGGCGACGACGACGACGCCGACCACGATGACAGCGGCGACGAAGACGACAACGACGCCGACGACGACGCCGACGACGACGACGACGCCAACGACGAAGCCGACGACGACGCCGACGACGGTGACGAAGACGACTTGAGACTACGAAGACGACAACCACGACGGCGACGACGAAGACGACGGCGATGTAGCCGACGACGCCGACAGCGACGACGACGGCGACGGCGGCGGCGGCGACGACATCAACGACGACGAAGACGAAGACGACGCGACGTCGACGACTACGACGACGTCGACGACGACCACGTCGACGACTCCGACGACGACGACGACGGCGCCAACGGCGACGGCAACGACGGCGACGACGACGCCGACGACGAGGACGCCGACGACGACGACGATAATGCCGACGACGCCAACGAGGACGCCAACGACGCTGACGACGACGCCGACAATGCTGAGGACGACGACGACGCCGCCGCCGCCGAGGACGAAGAAGACAACGACGACACCGACGACGACGAAGACGACCACGCCGACGAAGACGACGAGACGACGACGCCGACGAAGACGACAACGACGACGACGACGCGACGACGACGACGACCCCGACCCCGACCCCGACCCGACGACGACCCCGACACCGACACCGACCCGACAACGCCGACGCCGCCGATGACGGCGATGACGCCGAAGACGAAGACGAAGGCGAAGACAACGACGACGACGGCCCCAACGAAGACGAAGACAACGACGACAACCCCGACGACGACGACGACGACGACAACGACGACGAAAACGGTGGCGGCGGCGGCGACGGCGACCCCGAAGACGGCATCGATGATGATGACGACGACGACGACGACGACGACGACCCCGACGACGACGATGACGACGGTGACGTCGAAGACGACGACTGCGACGACGAAGACGACGAGGACGCCGACGACTGCGACGACGACGACGAGACGACGAGACGGCAGCGGCGGCGGCGGTGACGACGACGACCACGACGACGACGTCGACGACCACGAGACCGCCGACGCCGACGACGCCTGCGGCGACAACGAACACGCCACGACCACGACGACATTCGCGGCGGCGGCGGTGGCCGGCGACGGCGGGGCGTCCGCCGAAGACCTGCTTGAGGTGCAGGTGGCCCCACCCGTTGGTCCTCTTCTCGATCCGCAGGGCCTCCTGCAGAGGAGCAGCCATGGCCTCCTCCTCCTCCTCCTCCTCCTCCTCCTCCTCCTCCGCCTCCTCCTCCTCCTCCTCCTCCTCCTCCTCCTCCTCCCCCTCCTCCTCCTCCTCCTCCTCCGAGAGAGAGAGAGAGAGAGGACACCGAATGCAGAACGACTGGGCACCTCTGGCCACGGCGAGCCTCCGCCACCCCCCGCGACCGCAGGAGGTCCAAGAGGCGGCGCCCTTCCTTGCAGCGCCTCGACTGCACAGGAAGGACGAGCAGCTTCCCCAAGGGTGCCCCTGCATCCATAGGCTGTTCGGCCGCGCGCTGCTGAAAATCCACAGCGAGGATGAGCACCCATCGGTCGGAGGAAGTGGGTAGACTAATGACGTAGGAAGGAGTTGAGAGTATTCGGGCTTCCAGGAAGCAAAAATGAAAACCACTCGACGATTGAAGTAGGAAGGCTCATAAAGTAGATTGGAATCTGAGCATCCCAGAATACGATTGTTAGCTTTCCCTAGGGTGCCCTTGCATCTTCGGGTTGTTCGCCAGTGCGCTGATCAAAAGGCTTCAGCTTCAGCGCCTCAGGGTCTGACTGTTGGCAGGAATGACCCCAAACTTCCGACGTTGTGCCTTTCTGCCTCTGGGCGTCTTTCCTCGATGTCGGGCTCCGGGGCCCGCTATCGGGCCCCGGAGCTTTCAGAAATGGACCTGGAGCGAAAACTGCCCCCGGGGGAAGGGGTTGGGACCTCTGGGGCCGCGCCCTGAGACAATCAGATCGGCGGCTGCCAGGGACTGCGTTGGTGCGCGGCTTCGGGGGGGCCCACCTGGCCAGTGCCGGGGGGGGGGGGGGCGGAGGAGGAGGATGGGGCACAGCCCCGAAAAAGCCACGCTCTGAACGCCACTCCGGCGAAGGGTCGCGCCTATACCGGGGGGGGGGGGGGGCGCGGAAGGTGGGGCAGGGGCCAAAGGTGCGGCTCGAGGGGAGACCGCTCCACGTGGCCCCTGGGAAGAGGAGCAGCGTGAGCCTCCAGCTTTTTTTTGTTTTTCCCGTTTCAACCCCTGAAAGTTTCAACACCACTGGAGAGGGGATCCAGAGGTGAGGGTTTTGGTACAGCTGAGGGGGGAAACCCCTCAGCAAACGCCGTTCTCCGGCCCCGCCTCGGGGCAGCCCACCCTCTGCGGACCCCCGATCTCCCTGCGGGGCCCACGGCGGTGCTCCGACGGACCGCGCGGCGACGCCGACGCCTTGCAGGGCCTCACCGCGCAGTCCGCCGCCGCACCGCTTTGGCACCCTGGAGGCGCCCTGGAGACGTCGAGGCGTCCGAGGGAGGCGTCGAGGCGTCCGAGGGGGGCGTCGAGGCGCCCGAGGGAGGCGTCGAGGCGCCCTGGAGGCGCCCTGGAGGCGTCGAGGCGCCCTGGAGGCGTCGTGGCGTCCGCCTGGAGGCCCCAGGCGCCCGAGGCGTCCTCGAAGAGTCCCACAACCGTGACGCCCCCCCGGGGTTTCTAGAGTGAGAAGGCGCTGCCCAAACAGAAACTTTCGGAGCTCCGCGCGGAGCTCCGAGACTTCACGTTCCCCCTGTTTTCCTTCGCGGGAAGCCCCACTGACCCACCACACGGTGTGGTCACTGCACCGTGTGGGGGGCCCCCCTCCCTGACGCGCGGAGCGCCCCAGGGGCGGCGCCGGAGGCGCCGCCAGCCCAAACCGCCGACGTCGTGCGTTTTTTGTGTCGTGACGTGGCTCCCCAGAAGCCTGGACCCAGTGCCCATTACCCGCTTTACATCCAGAGGCATGTTTTGTTGGCCAGTCCCGGGGCCCAGTACAAGCCCCGAGGGGCCGAAAACGACCAAAAACCTTCCGTCGTGTTTTCTGCAGCACCCGACGGGGTCTAAGAAGGAGGGGTCTAGCGCATAAGGGCGCCGCCAGGGAGGTCCCACCACCGCCGGATGCGCGCCGCCGAGGGGCATCCCCACTGACCGACCACACGATCCTCGAACCTCGAGCCTCGATGCTCGAGACCTCGATCCTCG